TGATGATAGCAAAAGCATGAAACTCAGGGTCACAACCTCATATCCATACAACTGAATATATATATATATATATATATATATATATATATATATATATATATATATATATATATATATATATTTTTTAAAGTAAAAGATAAAATGTCAGTAATTGCATCAAATCTATTTTTATTTTTCAGCATTCTTTCCTCTTCTTTCTAATTTAAAAGTTCAAATTTAAATTTGTCTGTTCTCAATATATTTTGCTAAATAATGAATATTTCATACGAGAAACATCATATCTTGTATTCACCATTAAATTATCAAAAGTCTTTTCGAGACAGCCCAAATTTTCAACTAAGTTAAATGTTAATGCAGCTTATGTTAACCCAGCACTGACTAATGCGGTAAACAATACTTATATAGAGTCTGAAGAAAAAAAAAATGATTGTGTCATTACGATATTATTTTCATAAATTTTTAAAAATTAAATTTGTAATTTCGAAGAAATTTGCACGCAATGACAAAATCGAAGCAGTTGATGTGAGAGCACAAATTAAAATTTTATTCAAAAGAAGGATAGTCTTAGAGATAAATTGCAAAGATGTTGAAGATATCTAGATATGGAGTGCACTATTCGTTACAAGGCATGTAGAAACTGGCACAAATCTTGAGTGTCAAAGAGTTGGTACACAAAAAGTTAAAGGTTGATTGTAAAAATGAAACCAAGTACACTGCATTTACTGACATTTTAGTTTTTACTTAAAAAAAAACAAAACAAACAAAATTATCTCGTTTTAAATATTAGTTTTTAAAGAAATGCAGGGTGTTCCCTAAATTTTTGCCTTCATTTTACACACACACACACACACACACACACACACACACATATATATATATATATATATATATATATATATTATATTAAATGGCAAATTTAATTTTTAAAATTAAAAAAAACAAACTGTAATGCCACTATAATATATAAGTGCGCCAACATTACAATAACCAGATATTTTTATTTAAATTTAAATTACGTAACGGTTAGTCTCGAAAAAGTCTATACTCAACACATTAATATTATTCGAAAAAAGTCTATATAACACATTAATATTGTATATTTGTATATTTATTTATAGATACTTAATAGCTCGATTTTATTACATCGAGTATTGTTTTAACGCCAGCACTGGATGTGTGACATATTATTACACAACATCAAGTCACAATCAACGACAATCTTCGGATCGCTTTATATATATATATATATATATATATATATATATATATATATATATATATATATATATATATATATAGATACATAGATAGATACATATATAGAAGGATAGGTAAAAAATTCGTGGGTAAATAATCTAAGTAGATCCTATTAATATAAAATATTAAAACTGATCCACAAAAGAGTGCTCAATATAATTTTCATTTTAGAGCATATAGTGAATTACAATTAATGAGATCCAAACAATTTACCTCATACAGATGATCATTTCATCCATGGGAAAGTGGTTTTTCCCTGGACTTATCAATGCAAATATATTAAAAAAACAACATTTTTCTTCATTAATTTATTTGCATTGATAACTCCAGGGAAAAAACTACTCTCCACACACACACACACACACACACACACACACACACACACACACACACATATATATATATATATATATATATATATATATATATATATCCAAAGTGTTTGTTCAACCAACAGAAAGCCTGACAATGACCAATAAAAAGAAAATAGTAAGAATTCATAAATCAAAATCCAAAATAAAAAACAATAAAAGAAAAGGGAAAATGAAAAATAAACTTAAAGAAAAAAACACCAAGCGATAGAAACCTACGTAGGTCACAGGTTATACGAAGGTCATCAAAAGAGCAAAAGCTCTTCACAGCGTCACACCAGAGAAAGAGACAAATTTCGGACGGCCATGTATGTTTCGCGCTCCAGCGATCGTCATGCGACCAAATCATTCCTGTAACTTGACGTTTGTTTAAGTGTGTGTGTTTGTATAATTCAATTCCAATATTGACAACAAGAACTATTTGTCAAAAACGGTTAAATTAATAGAGAAGCGGAATAAAAACATGGAAATATAGTACAATTTATGAGAAAAAGCAACCTTTCTGTATGAAATCGATTCGTTACTGCCTGACGATACTGAATTGGTGAAACGGCGGTGGCAGGGGAAGTTCCTTTTCTCATAAATATATATATATATATATATATATATATATATATATATATATATATATATATATATATATATATATATGTGTGTGTGTATATATATTATATATATATATATGTGTGTGTGTGTGTGCGTATATATATATATATATATATATATATATATATATATATATATATATATACTCGAGTGTATGCTGAAATAAATAAACCAATGAGATGATTAATGAATAATCTTCCTGAAATTATCAGAATATTACTGATTAATCCGCCACTTAATTAATTTCATAACAAAAAGATAGCTGACATTTTTAGAGCGTATACTGAAGAAAGAGCACCTGCAGAATTTAAAATCTCCAGAACATACTGAATGCATGAAAGTATTTATGATCCAACGAGTTCAAAGCAAAGCAAATTAAGACGGGCGGTAAAATATATAGTTAGAATAACAAAAAGACCGGATATTGTGAAGAGATACATCCTGAAAGTACATGGCAAATAAAAAAGGAAATAGAGTAGTGATCTTTTTGCCTGACAAAATCACACAGCGAATAAAAAAAAAAATCCCTTAGGTTTTCAGTTAAGTGTTAAACGATATTCTTCAAATTTAGTATCTGACGAACAGGAATATTTTGGAGTATTTCGGAATCCTTCAGAAAATATGATAGTTCTTGTTGGAATTTAAAGAGTTACCATTTTTCTTTATACCCAACCACTATGTCTTCCATTAAATGAATCTTTGATTAGCAAATGATATGATATATGATCATGGCCCGCAGAAATGGTACGTAATTCACGCATTCCATTTCATCCATAAACATGTTATCAGAATTCCATGAACAGTCTTGAAGCTGTCTTCGATGCCCCGCCTTTGAAGTGAGAGCATGCCTAGATCAGGTGAATCTTTTTATATTAGCCAATCAAATCCACGAAGGCGACCTTCAACTTATATTTGGTATTGCAGAACTGCTGTTTGATTTCCCTAACGGTGAAACCAAACACAAGGGTCTTCCAATCAAGAGATCTGGGAGCCATTCGTTAGCGAGTGATGTGATCGTAAAAATCTTCAGTCAGACATTCCTGTCCCATGTTGCTTAAGTAAGAATTGTCTCGCTGGAAAATTCACGGTCAAGCCTTCTGTGGAGGGAATGACTTCCGTGTCGAAGGACTTGATGTAACCTGAATCATCGAATCTCAGCTCCAGCGTTAAGTAGAGCGACATGGCATGATACGTGTTGCTGACAAAGCCCAGGACAATCAAAGAGGAAGTACATTACCGAAAAGTCTCGTAGCTTTATAAGTACACCAGCGAGTTTCTGAGTTTGATCATCATTTCGTTCCACGAGTGCCTTTCATTTTGAAGCTTCACATAGGAAGCGGCTATAGCCATACTCTCAAAAGGTTGGAAAAAAGAAATGAAAATTTAACGCATGATCCGGAAGCTTACTTCCATTTCTAGGCCGCTAAAAAAATGTCTCATCAAATCCCTGGACCATTCTACATATATTAAATTCGCGGTGATATCGATCATCACATCACAACCAACCAAAAGACAACTATCAATATTAGGCTAATTTTGTCTAGAGAATATCAAAATACTCTACAATGTAAGGAAAAAAGAATTCTAGAAGCTATTATTATACTAAATAAATTAACATTCACCACAGGAAACGGTATCTTGAAGTGCATTTAATATATTTAAGTTGCACACACACGTACACACGTACACACACACACACATATATATATATATATAATGAAATGGATTAAGTGTTTTTTTTGTTTATACGTTATTTTTATATATACAAATATTTAAGTAAACATTCTATTTATAATAAACAGTATTAACAACATTAACCGGCCTGAATGTCCGAGAAATAAAAATAAAATTTGTAACCTCTGAGAGGAATCGAACCTGTATCCTACACGGAACCGCAATATAGTCTGACGTGCTATACCATTTAGACGCCATATAGCTTCAGCGGAAGTGTCAAAATGGTATACAGACTATATGGCGTCTAAATGGTATAGCACGTCAGACTATATGGCAGTTCCGTGTAGGATACAGGTTCGATTTCTGTCAGAGGACACAAATTTTCTTTCGGATTTCTCGGACATCCAGGCGGGTAAATGTTGTTAATACTGTTTATTATAAACAGATCATTTACTTAAATATTTGTATCTATAAAGATAACGTATAAACAAAAAATATATTAATGCACACACACACATATATATATATATATATAATAAATGCTAACATCTTTCAGGAGAGTGACTCTTTGTATCATCTCGAACTTACGTTTTCCGCGGACTTGAATTGGGAATAATTTATTGAATGACTTGCTAGGTCTGCTGCTAGAAAAGTAGGTTCCTTTTGTCGTGCTAGACAATATTCCTCTCCAGAATCTGCCATTCATCCTTGCTTTGACTATTAATGTTACATCTCATCTCGTGCTTCTGGTATATATTTAGTGATTCATTGGTCCTGCGTTGGCATCACGGCTTCAGTCCCTTCTCACCATCGTAACGTAGCTTTCCTGTGCCTTTTCTATAAATATTTTTACGGCAATTTTTCTGATGAGTTTTCCTCTATGGTACCTAGATTTTATCAATAAGTACCATATCGAAGCGCTCATCTGAACAATTACCATGAAAGTAGTTATGGAAAGCGCACACGGAAACAAATTTATTGCTGTAGGAAATTGACTGAAGCTGAGATGCTAGAACAGAACTAATAATATTGCTGATTTTTCTTTGGATTTTATCACGCATATCCAAATATATAGCAGAAGCACAGAACCATATGTGGCAGCAATATTCTAATGATGGACAAATAGTATCTATCTATCTATCTATCTATCTATCTATCTATCTATCTAACATATTCAGTGTTTGTCTGAGGATCGCAAAAGCGTGAAACCTGGGGTTAGAAACCCATATTCATACAACTATATATATATATATATATATATATATATATATATATATATATATATATATATATATATAAAAAAAGAACAGCAAGGTATATAATCCGGTGTTCTTATAGATATTTTATTTTTACAAAATAGTGCTCAATGTAAATTTACAGAGCATTAATATTATAAATTAATTGATTTAAAATATGTTTTTTTTTCGCTACACAGTTCTAACCATGTTTCAAAAATGGAAGCTAAAAGCCACGAATTTAATTTTGTAATTAAATTAAAGACATTAGTTCCATTTCATCCTCAAGCGAAATAATGGAACTAATGTCTTTAATTTAATCACAAAATTAAATTCGTGGCTTTTAGCTTCCATTTTTGAAACATAGTTAGAACTGTGTAGCGAAAAAAAAACATATTTTAAATCAATTAATTTATAATATATATATATATATATATATATATATATATATATATATATATATATATATAAGAAAGATTCAGGCGAGAAATATTGTATAGCATGACACAGTGAAGCAAGTTTCTTAGGATCTGACCTAGCAATGGATTCAGTATTATCTTTCCACTTTCATATCAGCCGAGAACATTAGCCAGAGAAGGCGCAATGAAGTCACCTGGAGGTTTACCATCAGTCACGCTGATTGAAAGCTAAAATGTGTCTCTCAGATGATTAATCAATAGCAGTTTAGTCTTGGAATTGTTAAAATTAAAAAAAAAAACAACAAATCCTCTGTTGCCCCAGTTCACAGCAAACTGCCGATCATTTTTTTTTAGATCAGCCGCCAAATTGATTTTATCTTACTAATTAGACTTACTATCGAGACGGGAGTAAATGGTTGTGCCATCAGTGTAGATGTCAAGTCGAGAGCTGATCTCATAGGGAAGAACAATAATGAAAATGATAAATAAAGTACGACCAAGTATAGGGACCCTGGGGATCACGTGCATTAGTAAGAAATGATCTAGAATTGTGGTTCTCCAGAATAACTTTCATTTTACGACTTGATAAGAAAGACTGAATCACTTTAAAAATATGCATATTTATGGGTGAAGTATGTCCATTATCACTTTTTCTACGCCATCTGTGTTATACCGAATCAGTATAAGTAAAAATAACATAGACATATCGGGTGAAAAATGAAATTGACAGCTACCATATACTGTTGATTTCTTCACTCTCTCTCTCTCTCTCTCTCTCTCTCTCTCTCTCTCTCTTGTTGCTACCTCCTATCTATCGCTCTCTCTATCTCTATCTCCTCTCTCTCTACACACACATATACATATAAGCATGTAAATAAATTCACAAATATAACCACACGCACACATGCACATATATACATTCACACACACGCGCGCACACACACAATCACACACACACATACATACACACACACACACACACACACACACACACACACATATATATATATATATATATATATATATATATATATATATATATATAAATGATAGTACATTGTCCGATATAACAATATAATGTACACATACGCAAATGCATGTGTTGTCGAATGCCGTTGACCCAACTAGTGATCATCCTCTCTAATTCATAGTTCTTATTTTACACACTACTAATTGTTTAAAGAAAGGCTAAACGAAAAATGTGCAGAAATAGAAAGATTGAGTGCTACCAACAAATAAGACATGAACAAACAAATAAGACAACAGGACAGAAGACATGCTTGTCAAAAGGCTGCCTGAAATCAAAGGATGGGACGCTCATTTTTTGATATAAGGGAACAACCAGCAATACAGAGAAATACCGACGGACCTGGAATTTTGAAAGCCGGAGTAAAAGCTGCACTGGCCAAATTGAACAGAAACAAGGCAGCTGGGCCAGACGGAATTGTAACAGAAATTATGACAGCGTTTGGCATAGGCAAGAACAGCGAAATAACAAATTAAATCTACAACAGCAGATATATACCGGAAGACCTCAGTTGATCTATCTTTGTAGCTATGCCTAAGTAAACAGGCGCAAATGTATGCAAACACCACCGAACAATAAGCCTAATGAGCCATATGACAAACCTCGTCATCCGTATTCTAATGAACAGAACGTGCAGCAGAATCAGCCCAGAGATAGGACAAGGACAAGAGACACCGGAACAAGGAACGCGATATGTATGCTCAAAATGTTATCAGAAAGAGCGATGCAGATGCAGAAGTACGTGTACCTATGTTTCATAGAATATACAAAGGCATTCGACAAAGTACGACACAGGGATCTGATGGAACTGCTCAGCAACCTTGATATAGTCGGGAAGATATCAGAATAATCAAGAACCTATACTGGCAGTAAACAGCATGTATGCGCATAAAGAATGAGTTCAGTGAATATACAAAAATAGAAAGGGACTTAAGGCAAGGATGCGTCTTCTCCACCGACCAGATCAACCTATACAACGAGTGAGTACTGGAAGTCCAAGCGGGATTTAGCACTGGCGGCCACAATCATTAGAACATAAGATACGCAGATGACAACGTACTGAAAGCAGAAATGGAAATGAATTTACAAAATCTCATATAGAAGGTAGCGACGAAGAATGAGAAGAAGGGACAAAACATAAACTACAAGAAGACGGAGTGTAAGGTCGTCAGTGAGAGGATGAGACCGAAATGCGATTTGAAGATCGGGAACACTAAAATCAATCAGACGCAGAAGTATAAATATTTGGGAAGCTTCTTAACAAAAGATGGTAAGTGCGACACTGAGATCCGTAGGCGTACTGGGATGTCCAAGGACACTTTCCAAAACCTGGGTAGAGTACTGCGAGAAAAGAGGATTTCTTTGGTAACAAAGAAAAGAATACTGAACTGTTACGAGACATCTGTTCTTCTTTACGGCAGCGAATGTTGGACGATTTCCTCAAAGACGAAGAAGAGACTCGAGGCGACGGAGATGTGGTTATACAGAAGAATGCTAAGGATACCATGGACCGAGCGTTTGAGCAACGATGAGACCTTAGAGAGGTTGCAAACAAGGAGGAGGCTTATACTTAATATCAAGAAGAGGCAGCTGAAGTTTCTGGGACACATAATGAGGAAGGAGGGCCTGGAGAATCTGATACTCACGAATAGAGGTAAAGGAGACAAACCTGGTAAACTTAAGCAAGTGGATGACAGAATGTGGTCTGGGGGAGGAAGCATAGGGAAGGAACTTGTTAAGATCTGCAAGGGACAGAAGGAGGTGGAGAGCCATGATCGCCTACGTCCTGAAAGAAAAAGAAAAGGTTTAGTCGCAAAACTCTCCAGGCAAGCTTGGTGGTGGGGCCTGGAAACGCGTCAATCACCCGACTCCTCAACCGAAATCATCGCCATGCACACACACACACACACAAATATATATATATATATATATATATATATATATATATATATATATATACATTGCGTGCCAAATTATTAACGAGATAACTTTTTTACTAATATTTCAAAAGCTGCTCAATCAATGCACACAAATTTTTCACACAATGTTGGCAACACTGACGTGTGCAACCACTGAAATTTTTGCACTGATCTGTGCAATGTAAACAAACTAGCACCATATTTATTATCAGCATGGTGATTTTACCATGCCAAATTATTAGAAAAGTCTATGAATTTAGTGAAAAAATGGGCCGTAAAAGCAGTTTAAGTGATGCTGAAAAGAAAACTATCACCTCAGAACTCTCAAAAGGTAACTCTAACCTAGAAATTTCTAAAATGATAGGGAGGTGTCATCAAAGAGTGAAAAAGTTCACCGCCGACCCTACACAAGTACGCAAAAGGGCAGATAAAGGCAAACCAAGGGTTATTTCACGTCGTCTCATGTCTAAAAGTACTCGTTATCGGTATCTGAGGGAAATAGCAACAACAGTCAAACATGTATCGAAGTCTCCGTTGACGAGAAATCACATTCAAAATCCACTGAAATGGGCTGAGGACAATATGAAGATTGACTTCTCTAAAGTTTTGTTCACAGACGAAACTCGGGCAACACTTGATGGGCGAGATAGATGGTGCAAAGGCTGGGTAATGAACGGACAGAATCGCCATCAGTGTTTGAGAGGCCAACAAGGCAGTGGAGGGATAATGATCTGGGGTGGAAAAACATTAGTGGGCTCATGGAGAGTACCAGATGGCGTCAAAATGACTGCTGATGCATACATAGCGTTTATGAAGGAGCATCTTGAACCGTGGATGAAAAGGCAAAGAGTTGCCTTCAGATGGGTCATTTTTTTATGCAAGATAATGCTCCCTCACATGCTGCTCACAAGACTACTGAATATTTGAAACAGTTAGGCTTTGATGGACCTCGAAAAATGAAGTGGCCAGCAAATTCTCCGGATTTGAACCCAATCGAAAACATTTGAAGCATCATGAAGCGAAGACTGTACGCCAACGGACGACAATTCAGGAGCAACGCTGAGTTGTTGGAAGCAATTATTGACATATCTCGCGGCATTACAGCAGATGACATCCTACAATTAACAAATTCTACGGATCGCCAACTTCTTCAAGTAATTTCAAAACAGGGAAAGCACATTCCCTATTAATTTGTTTAAAACTGTGCCTTTGTTTGTATCTGTTATTATTTGTTTGACTATCTTATTTATTAGCTTCTTTTGATCATAAACATTCACGTACAACATTAATAAACGTTTCGTTTGCTCAATTCTGGGAATTTTACTAAACCTTTCCAGTAATTTGGCACACTCAAATCACTGTGCTGATAACAAATATGGCACCAATTTGTTTACATTGCGCAGATCTGTACGCAAATTTCAGTGATTGCGCAGGTCAGTGTTGTCAACATTGTGTGAAAATTTTGTGTGAATTGATTAGACGGCTTTTGAAATATTGGAAAAAATGTTATCTCGATAATAATTTGGCACGCAGTATATATATATATATATATATATATATATATATATATATATATATATATATATATATAAAATATGAGATCAGCTAATCACACCACCTTTTTTTTCCTACTTTCGGTATTCTCAGGCGATTTTGGCTAATTAACCTGAGGATACCGAAAGGCTAAGGGCAAGGTAGAGTGTTTGGCTGATCTACTGCATTTTAAAAAAAATTAAAACCTCTGCACGGTAAATTTTTATTTTGTTTATGTGTATTGCGCACTTTTGAATACAACTGTTTCCTGGTCTAATTCAACTCAGATCAATAACAGTTTTATTATTATTATTATTATTATTATTATTATTGTTATTATTATATAATTATTCGTTCGAAGAATTTGTAATTCAATCGTTGATGGTAATTTCAAGTTTAATTCCATCCTTCCTATTAAACAAAATCAAATGAACGAAAATGGAAATGAATATTATCAAAGCCTTCGTAAGAATGGCAAAATGAATTGCCCCTAATAAGGGATTTTTTTCACTACAAACCTCATCTTGCACAGAAATACTAGAACAGGTCAAATGCTTAATGCGCTCTTATTTCAATAAACAAAAGAACAATATTTACTGTCATTTTAAAAACCAGACGATTTTTGTGTCTTCAAAATTAAGCCGGTTCTATGTTTAGGTTTTTTATTAAGCAGTGACATGCTATATTTTAATCCAAATGCATACACATGTACCCCACCCCCTACCAAACTGACATCAAGAGATTACCATTAAAAATTACGGAAGTAAAAGTGAAATTAACGGTCCTTATTATATTGTTAGATTCTAATAGATGATAGTGAGCCAACATCACCTACAAGCATAAAAACTAAGAGAAACATGTCGATTCGAAAGTCTTTAACCAACATAAATACGTCAGATTCCAAAATAAAAGAAACATCTTCCGTTGTTTCTCAATGTAACGAGGCCCAAACGTCTTCACTTTCCTCAATGAAGGAGAATATGGCAACTAGTGGTTGATACTGAGGTTGAAGAGAAACAGAAACGGATTAAAGTGAATTGCATCAACAACACTATAAAATAAATCACATATCTAAGATTTTAGAATTATAGTAATAACTTAACAATTATAAAAGACAACAACTGAATAAGTTGAACACACACAATAAGTAACACCCGAAAATGATTATTATACGAATATCTAATTTCAAAAAATAAATTCTAAACGCTATTAAAATTATGTCAGGTGATATGTTTGCTGAATAATCAAATTTAGAATGAATTTAATTTGCTGAAATTAAGAAATTTTACCTATGAATATAATCGTTAATTACTTACAAATGTACAATTTAAAAGACAATGTCACATTCGGAGTGTTTTCCGGTTATCGGCATTGGTCATCGAAAGTTTTGT